CAGAACACATGAATTCCTTTCTTACGGCTTACATATAAAAGGGATGCATTGTAGATAGTCTAGCAAAAATCCCTCAGGATTTTCAAGGATAGGGCAGCTAAAATGCCTCATACAGGGGGTCCCTTGGGGCTAAAATCCCTCATAAATTACTATTTAAGGAGGCCTCTGCCTGCCAGTTGTTTTCCTCCTCATCCCACTCAGTACACATTTTTGGTGGGACACCTGTCACAGATTACATATATTTATTACACAAGAAGTTCACGAGTAGTACAGTTCACAGATTGAAATATATACACAGTTCATTTCACAAACATTACACAGAAGAGCCAGTCCTTTGTTCCAGTCCTGGTTGAAGCATAGTGCTCCCAGACCCTTTGGGTTCAAGAACCACCTCTATTACATTATACATATACAGCATCAAGGAAGAGCACAAGTATCAAGACATCAAGACGAGAAACAACATCAACAACTCAATCAATTCTTTGGACAACAAGATCAACCTTCAACAATTATACAACCGTCTTTGAACATAATCCATTATCACCAACCAAACTGCCAAGCTTACCTTGGTGGTCTTGTTTTCTGATAATATAGAAAGGCAGAGTTTGCAGCTCATTTCATCCCTTTCTCCATTCAGCAAAAAGGATCTTACAATCACTTTTTGAGTCTTACAACGTAGGAGGGGGAAAATCATCAAATTTGGCGGGGATTTGTTGGAAGGTCATTCAGGTCATTCGGAGAGTGTCTTTAATCTTGGCTATCGGCTATATTGGATTGGAGTTCCAGAAAGATGCCATCGGCAGATTCGCGGTCCTTGAGGGCCTTCTTGGTGCAAGTTTTGGACTCAAGGATGAGGTTGTTGACTTGAGCTTTGCTACCTCTCAGGAGTTGGTTCATGTCCTCCTTTATTTCAGTCGCCATTCTGTTGAGGAGTACCTTCACGCCAGCCTGGACATCTTGTACACCGCGGGTGCAGTCGGGCAGCCCAGGGACAGCCCATCCGGGTACATCCCCTGGACAACCCCAGCAGCCAAGAGGGCCATTCCACAGCTGCTCCCCATGCCAAAAAAAAGGCTGGCCCCAGGCCGTTCGGCCTGGCCGCCCGGGTGATATCCCTTACTTGTATCCACTGTGCACCACAAGGACACCCGCAGAATGTCCTTTCCCAGAGAGGATATCCGCCAAGCAGCTTGCGTGCAGACGGCGCCACCAGGTGTGAGTTCATGACTCCCCATCCCGACATCCAACGGCTATCCGGTGGCTGCTACGAGGCTAACCTCCCAGAGCCGACCAATTCATAGCCGGCGACGGGACATCCCGTCGCTTTTCTTAACTTTGTGAGACATCCACAGTGTGTTCCATGGTCGTTCATCGGGCCTCCAAAAAGCAAAGTGCACATCGATGCTAGCACCGGAACTCAGGTGGTGTAGCCCGGCGGCAGAGTATTAAGGAAAGAGGTCACCCGGTTTGGGTGCACTAACATGTATTTAAGTATAGACATAAGCAGACCTATCGACAAAGTAAGATGTAAAAGTGAGAAGAGGAAAATGAACAAATGGTGAAGGGAAGGTGAGCGGAAAAAAAAACACCAGGTGAGAAGAAAAATCGATGGAATTGAAAAGCACTATGTACATCTTTAAATCAAGGAGGTTGTACACCATCAAGCCATAGAAGTGACAAAGTATGACAGCCCGCTGTTGCATCATGCTCTTCAGCTTGGCCTACAAAGTCATTATCCAGCCAAAGTAGCGTCATCGAGCTCGGCATTGTCACCCACCGTCGCCATCAAACCCTCCACCTCCTGTTCAGTGGGCAGCTTGATTGTGCTGGTGTCTATCCCAACGAAGAACTGCTCACCGTTAAAGAGGGCTCGGTCCACCCTCAGAACAAGGCGGAAGAATCTGAGCAACGATTTCCATGTGAGCCACCATACAACCAAGTATTATTGCAAAATTGGGCTCACGCAGTGCGATAGTCCCTTCCCATCGCATCCAAACGTCGCAAGTGCTCATCAATATTCCTCCACTGTCGACTGGCTTCACGGGGTCCCCTCGCCACTAAGTGGATGATTGTCAAGATGCGAAGGTAAGCAAGCCGCGCCTTTAAGTGGGTCTGATGCCCCCGGGCTTCCTGAGTGACGGCGGCGCCAACGGCAGTGCTGTTTGCAAGTGGGGGGGTCATACTCGTCCGCATCTGGAGCGGCATCGGCATTGTAAGTCTGGTTGAGTAGCAAGCAGCCCAAAAGAAATTCCAACTTACATCGATCATCAAGGCCGAAATAGTCGGTATTGGATGAGTTATCTCCCTGCCTGTCGGAGCTTGAATGTTAGTCAAGAGCTGGAAAGACAAAACATCAGCCTCAACCGAAAACCGGCAGTTCAGCCGCTATGCGGCAGTTTACGATCACACACCAAGTCTCGCATCATGCCCTGACTCTTCCGCAACTTGCTCCTCACCAGGCTATCAACACTGGCAACAGCGCCGGGGTCACCGTCTGCATATCCGCGAGGGAGATAATCTTGCTTGAAGCTTGCTGGCTGGCCATTGATGTGATCCTGCATGATCACACATAGATGCATCAGTCATTGGAATCACAAAGGTACTTTGGAGTCACTCGAGAGACCCGACTGACCAATACTAGTACCAACAGGCTCTTGAGTGTGGCCGGGGAGCCACGAGGAACATCTGAGCCGTAAACTTTCAGATTCTTGGTCATGAGGAGCTCACGAGTCTGTCGCTTGACGAAATCCTGGGAATATTTGCAAGCACTCGTTTGATTTGGTTAGTATACATGAGGTAGAAACAAAGATGAGATGTGATTTACCTTGAAGACAGGTGAATATTGAAAGGTCCGAGCTTGGTTCGCAGGCGTGACCACAGTGGTCGCAGGTGCACGGGGACCAGCGAGTATTTCATTTCGGGATTGCTCAATTGCCTGCAATATGGCAAGCTGGCTGTACAGGTGGACGGCGTACTGACGGGGGGGTGCAACCTAAAGAAGGCAGTGAGCATGGTTTTGATGAGGGCAAAGACTGTAGAGGTGTTTGTTCTTACATATGCTAGTGCTTCACCCACATGAGCATAGCCTCGCCTGAGTTCAAATACACCCTCGAGCTCCCGGACAAACTCATCATCAAGTGGCTCGTCCAGATGAGCCATGTCAATGATGCCATCGGGGAAGCCAGTAAAGGCGGTGACCCGCACTGTATCCTCATCAACAACTGCATCCTGGTCGACGGCGGTTTGTGAATTTAAAACGGAACGTTGGTCCTGTCTCTGGGGGGCCCCGGTTGGCACAAGGGCTGCAGAACACGCATGAGTCAGCGGCCATACAATATCTAAAAGCATCTACCAACGCACCTGCCCTGACAGGCCTGACTGGCTGGGTTGTAGCAGCGGCGATTCTAGCGGCTCGCCGACTCGCGGCCGCCGCTGCGGCCACGGAACCCCTCAACGGTGGGATTCCATGGGCAGGCTGGCGGCCAACTCGTCGGGTTGATCCACGGATTGGACCGGTCTGACTTGGCTGGGACTGGGCCGGTTGTGGGGTGGATCTGGTGAGTTGTCACGGGTTTCGCGCTCGCTTTCGGAGTCGGTGGGGACATAGTCTGACATGGTTGAAGGAAGAGGCAATCGGTGTTGAATAGTTGACGTTGAAGAAATCAAGATGTACACGAAAGGGGAGGGGAGTGGTCAAGTGTGAGGTGAAGGAGAAGTCTCACCAACAGAGGACCAGTTTTTAAGGAGCAGCCTGAGATCCCGCAGGCCATATGGCACAAACATGTCGATATTCTGCTTTAGGACAATTCTGTCTCCACAGTGCGCAGGATCAGCCTTGGGCTGACCTGGTGAGATAGCCTTGTGTTGTTCTGCCGAGGATAAACTGCATGCTTTGCCCGGGGAATTACGGCCATTGTGCTATAATCCAAGTTGGTGAACGGACACGACCCGACATGAGTCTGTTGGAAAAAAAGGAAGTATGAGGTGAGCTCCTTGGACCGGCGGAGTTTGCCTTGGGAAGATGGGTGCAAATAAAGAATCACCCTGAAGTACCAACACTGGGGCAATCTCTGACCCGATGGGAAAATGGCCCTAATCTAACCATGGGTTACCAGCTAATTTGGTGGTTGCTGGTAATCCCTTGGAGCAAGCGGATTTGTCACAAGACCCCAGGTCTGTGAGGTGGAGGCCATCCTCAACGCTAAGAAATGCCTGCCAGGCGACACACAACCCGCATGGCCTCAGGTCTGTTTGGTCAATTGGCAGGCCTAGCACCTCTTTCCCAGCCAATCATTAATCGATCAGGTGAAGCAACTTCACCTTATCCACCTTCGACCTCAGGAATTCTAATTTGATTTTCCAGCTCAAATCACACCTTGCCTCCTCGCGCGAAAATATGGGGCGTCGACGCAACCCAGAGCTCGTGTTAGATCCAGGTGAGCTCTTTCTTGTTGTGTTTGTATGTCAAGGCTCCTCGGTATGAAACAGCCTGGTTAATTGTCATGATTCCTTTGAAGCCGTATGGCATGTAGAATCAACCACAACACCGGTCATGTACAGTTGCATGGTGTGCCACTCACGACCCATGATTGAAAAGTCAGTCTACAAGCACAACAGATACAACAAACACACCTCAGTGTTAAAGGCGTTCTACGCGGCTAGGGCTTCAGGGGAATGTTTGACCGTGCTCGACCCAGTGATTGACCCTTCAATAGGCGGGGCCAGTGAAGATCGACTGCAAGCCATCAACTCGGAGGTATACGAGGATGCGCCGACCACCGCGGCATGGTGCCGATGGGAGGACATCGACGACGAGCCTGAGGTTCATGCAGGCCAGGAGTCATCTGACTGTAGCATTGAGAAACTGGACTTCTCAAGTGAAGCAAGTTCACATTCATTTCGCTCTGGACACGCCTCAGGCTCCAACCTCTCAGATTACAACTCCAACAACAAAGCCGACGATGAAGAATGGGATGTGCCCATCGGCCAAGGTGACACTGGCGGCTACGAATCATACGGAGACAATCCAACTGGGGTCAGCCAAGATGAAGAGCCGGGCCATCGCCGTCCAAAAGGCCAAAGGAATAACCCATGGTGGCCCTACAAGAGTAAAGAGGTGTGTTGCTGATATAAACTCCAGGAGGACTAGAGATTGTTCGTTCGTACTCGGGTACCTGTTGGTACCTAGGTACCTGTTGAATTTTTTCAAAAAATAGGTACCAAGTACCGCACCAGGCACCTCCCGGCGGGTACCGGCGGTACTTTTCGCGGGTACCGCGGGTACCTCCCCTCTCTTTCTAACCTAGGTTCACTTTCAGATTACCAAGTCACTTTTTTATTATTATTTTTTTCATATCTATTGTAAAATATCAGTCCCAAGTCACTTTTTTTCCATTCTTTCATATTTATTGGGAAATGTTGACAACAAATTGGAAGAATCCTACTTTGTTATTATATTTTCATATTTATTGAAAATATCATTCCCAAGTCACTGTTTTTCCTTTTGTCATATTTGTTGTAAGACATCTTAAACTAATTGGAAGAACCTGACTTCATTATTATTATTATTTTCATATCTATTGTAAAATATTACTCAAGTCACTTTTTTGGCATTTTTTTCATATTTGTTGTCAAGTATCTACATCTAATGGGAAGAATCTTGCCTTTTTTCATATTTATTGTAAAACATCAATCCCAAGTCAATTTTTTTCATTTGTTCACATTTAATAATTTATTTTAAAGCTTAAACTGTCTACAAATTATATCTAATTAGATTATTAGAAGAGTCTTCATTGTTGTCCAAAACTATCACCTTCCTTTTTGATTTTTGGTTAGACTTCTTGTTATCCTTGAGTCCCTGTTTCCATGTAGCCAAGGTACCTTCTTGGAGTTCTTGGAGTAGAAGGCCACCGTCATTTTGGTAGGGAAGTGAGGGGGTACCTGTAGCGGTACCTAGGTACCTGTTCAATTTTTCACAAAAATAGGTACCAAGTACCGCACCTGGCACCTCCCGACGGGTGCGGGGCGGGTGTGAAGGGTACCCCCCAAGCGGTACTAGGTACCTAGCAAAGGGTACCGCGGAACGATCTCTAAGGAGGACCTTTTGACTGACAAATTGCTCCATTTTTACCTTTTGGCAGTATCTGGTGGCATCACTTTTGATTGGATACACTCACCACATTGTTTCTCGAGCTTTCTATTTGCATATCCGCCTGATGTTCAAATTCTACAATATTATCCTACCCGACTGGACCACTGTCCGACGCGAAAAAAAAAGAATTCTCTCGTTGCTTGATTTTGAAGTCTTGCCCAGTGCTTCAATACTTGGAACCCCAACTTACCGCTTGAGCCTCCCAAAGGTACTTGCCCAAGAAGTGGCTAATCCACAGGTCAGCCCAGTAATAGATTACTACCCGCAAGAGACGAATGGTCAGCACGTTTATAAACTATCTCAGTCAGTCAAGTGGCTTGCAGACCTTGAGCCCACCTGCCGGGCCCCAATGTACCGATCTTCAGGCACCAATTGGTATTTGTATGAGCCAGTCCAGTTGGCGAATGATGAAGTTGTGATTCCACTTTTCTTTTTTCAGATGGCTGGTGAAATGCACTCAAAGTGTGTTGTGCCTGACTATCAACCTGTCGGTGAAGGATCCAACCTCCGCATGACCTTTCCTGCCGGGATTCCTTTCGGTTGTAGTAGCCTTCGAACCATCAAGGTCTCTGAATTTGATTATATTTATTCTGAAATTATTGATGCTGAAGGTCAATCATTGGCAACTCGCTGTCGGAACTCAATTTACGGTGAGGGGGTGAATGTTTCTTGGTGTGTGTTAGTGATTCCACTGAGGGTGTTCTGTCATGATCAAACAGAATTGGGTGAACATCAAACAACCTGGCACCATCTTCCCAACCCTTGGCGCACAAAGGCAAAAGGCAGAGTGATAAGGCATCTTCCAATCAATTTATATTCAGACGACACGTCCGGCAACCAATCCAAGCGTTGGAACAAGCACATATCTTACTATTTCACATTGTCCGGTCTACCCCCGCGCTGGACAAATCAAAATTACAATTGTCACTATCTGACCACTTCCAATGTCGCTGGCGCAATGGAGCTGGCTGCCCCAATAGTCTCTGACCTTCGGTGTGTGTCCTGTGATGATCTTCTCTGAGACTCTGATCATCCAGGCTGATCTTGAATAACTGTTCTTCTGTAGAATGCTGGTGTCGGAAGGTTATCCCGCCTTTGATTGCACTCTCAAAGAGGAGGTCTTGTTGGTTTCACACATACTCTGTTTCCTGGGCGACTCCCCGATGCACGCCGAGATCACCAGCACACCAAATCCTGGGAATTCCCTCCACCCTTGCCGGGCGTGTGCTTTGTCGGCTGCAAGTGTCAGATCAAAGGCAACCATGGATTATGTACGATTTTTTTTATGATTGGACCTACCAGCTCTTGGGTGAGTTTTCCACACATCTGGCCTCCTGTTGTGCATTATAGCTGAGCAGAAAGATTTCCCTGGACACAGATTAAACATCCACCGCGCTTGTGGGAGCAGATCAAATCCCAATGCTACAAGGTGTGGAGCATGGCTAAAAGACCAAGGACCAAGACTGCCGTTGGCAACAGCTCATCTACACATGGTGTGAAGGACATGATCAACCGAGCTATTATTGACCGGAGGTATGAAGTGCTCGAATCAGGCCACGAGCCTACCGAACCCGAGAGGAAGTTCCTGGAGACGGTGAAAAAGATTGATCAGTTTGATCCTGGAGAATTGTTCAACCCTTAATTTGAGGCCCCGGGTCAGTAATATGTTTCAGTTTTGTGGGTCACATGTTTCCCACTAATGAGCACACACTAACACTTGTTTTGTTTACACATCTTGCCAGGATTTGATGGGTGTCGTGACACCCCTGTGGAGATCCTACATGTATTTCTACTTGGTGTGGTCAAATACCTTGTCCGGGACTTCATGCGTCGCCTCTCCGCCGAGGATAAACTTAATGTCAAAGCTCGGTATCAAACATTCAATATTGACGGCTTGAATATACCTTCCATTCAGGCATCTTACCTCACCAATCACTACTCCAATTTCATTGGCAAGGACTTCCGAGTTGTCCTCCAAGCCGCCCCTTTTGTGCTTTTTGAATACATGGATGATGTAGAACGGACGTTGTGGACCGCACTGTGCCAGCTTGCGCCTTTAGTTTTCCAAACACACATAGAGGATATGGCCGTCTTCCAAGTGCGACTGGCCTACCACGTTCGGAAATTCTTATATCTACTTGTCAAGGGCACCGCGCAATGGGTCAATAAGCCCAAAATTCACATGCTGCTACACTTAATGGAATCAACTGGCCGATTTGGATCTGCAAGTCTGTTTGCCACTGAAAAGTTTGAAGGCTACAACAGTAACTTGCGAAATGCGTCAGTACATTCCAACCACCACAGTCCCGGCAAAGATATAGGTGTTACTTTTGCAAATTATCGTGTTCTTCGGCACATATTGTCGGGTGGCTTCTTCTTAGACAAGCGTCAGGGCCGATATTCCTCCGCAGGACCTTGTGTGACCAAAATCTTTTCACAGAGTGCCACTGTTCAAAAGTCGATGGGATTCAATTCTGCCCTGCTTGACGAGTCAGACCAACAGTACCCAAACATCAGGAAGTGGAAAGTCTTACCGGCACAGAAGGCTCCAATTCTGCTGGAACTGCAGGAACATCTGCAAGATTACACAGTTTCACAGATTGCTGAGGTCAACCTTGACAGCAAGCATGTCATTCGATCTAGCTCTTTTGTTTTGGTAAGCTCTCTAAATTGCCTGAATGTTGCAGGTATCCAACTGACACTTGTATGTCTGTATCATTACTGGACTAGTTTGGCCGTGGGGGCAGTGTTATCTCGGGCAACCAGCAATTGGGTTGGGTGGACCACCTGTGGAAAGCTAAATCAGGCCACCAACTTGCTCTGTACTTATGCCTTACACCATTCAACCCTGAGGGTGTGGACAATTTTTACAGCATGAGGCGTGTGAAACGCACTCAAGCAGGTATCTTCATTAATGTTAGAGTGAGTTGCCTGTTGTATCTCGGTGTTTAATACTATTGGGTTTACTCATTTTTTCAACTTTTTGCATACAAAAACAATCAGAATGTCAGTGCTACACTGAATGTGCAGCACAATTGTCACCTTTCAAGCTGTAGCATTGCTGCAACAACACCGGAACGCAGGGAGAGGCAGGAGACAGGCGCCTACTTGGATGGAGTTGTCCATGCAGACCAAGATAACTATGTAGTAAATCTGGCCTCTTTATCGTCAACCTTGGACCACCAAAATTACTCGGATGTCCCCTCTGTGGACATGCAAGACCATGACCAATTAGCAGCTCTGCATGAGGGCTTGGCATATTGGCATGCTGCAGGGACCCCAACTGGCCCGGTGGGACCAGTTGAGGCTTTGGACCCAACCTTAGGGTTGGGGTAGTTGGGTGCTTTCACTTTTTTGATGCAATTGTTTTAGTTCAGATTTCTGTCTTGCACAAATTGACACTTTTAGGGTTTTCACCTGGAGGCAAGGATGTTGAGGGGGGGGGGGGAGGCATTGTTTAAATTGTTTTCCTGGGTGGTCATGGACAGAGATGATGATACATTTGGTTGAGGACTAATAAGGGCAGAACCATGTATATACAGGTAGGCTTTGAGAAAGGGTGGCATGGAGGGCTCAGAGAATGGACCTGGCCTTGAACAACCCACTTGACTGGCCTACACTTCCAGCTAAGTTCTTGGGCCCAACAGGTGAATTAAGTCTGATTTGGTCCGTGAGTGGTGCACAGAGGGCTTTCCTTGTGTGTACATCCTCGTCCTTTGGTGTTGTCATGGGCCGCGGCAGCGGCGGGGTCGGGGCCGGGGCCGCTCCAACTGAGCCTGCTTTGTATCTCAACCTTCTATCAGTAAACGTTCACTGGGACGGAACTAGTGACCCTGGGGCGGATGAACATCAGATCGATCCTGATGCCTATATAGGTCGTAGGGCGTGTCAGATTGTGAGGAGGTAGCGAGCGAGCGCCTGAAATCCAATGTCGTGGGGGATCGACTTACGGTGGTGGTGCAAAGTCTGTGCCCGGGTGGGCCTTCTGTGGTGGGGAGATGGTTTGGTGGAGATGTGCGAGGAAAGGTGTGCATGGCGAGCCATGGGTGTGGGTTTGGAGATTATCCCTGGGACACGCATGGGTTGCCCTGTGGGGCTTGATTGCAGGTGTTGGCGGTTGACACTGCGGGCAGTCTGGGTGCATCCTCGGGCCATCGACGGTGTGGGAATACACCCATTGGGTGAATCCTACGGGAGGTCATCCCAGTGTCGGCAACGAAACAACCTGTCAAGATGTGGACAACCAGGGGGAGTCGGACACTCAGCGGGGACGGCTCTGGGCCGGTGCCATCCCGAGGGTAACCCGCATTTTCCAAATTGCGCCCGCGGTGTATTAAGGCTTGTGCTGACCCCATCGGGTTTTGAATGGGTAAGTTCTACAGCAACATTGGGGGGGGGGGGT